CATTATCTGCACATTATTCAGCTCCACACTGTGTTTTTGTTAAATTAACGTGGAATAGCAGCTCACAAACATCACAAATGAGAGCCTACTCATTCACCCGAATGCTGACATGAAAGAACACATGTACGTAAACAGACAAGCAGCACTACCAGACCCCTCAGCACCGCTAAAGACTTCAGGCTGAGCCACAAACAGGTCTGACAGAGCAGAACTAGTGTGTGACCTCTGATTAAACTGAGATTGCGCACACACACATTTCATTATTTGTGGGGACTTTCCATCAATTAACTTGTATTTCCTGGAGATGTACCCAAGCTGTGACTCTAAAATTCAATGATTTACATTCCCACAGTCCCCACAAAGCCTTTAATGACAAGGCTCCATCATATCTTAAAGACCTCATAGAGCCTTATCATCCCAACAGAGCAGTGCAGGTCTGCTTGTGATTCCTGGAGTCCATAGAGGTAAAATGAGAGGCAGAGCCTTTAGCTATCAAGCTCCTCTCCTATGGAACCAGCTCCCAGTCTCAGTTTGGGAGGCAGACACCCTCTCTACCTTTAAGATTAGATTCAAGACTTTCCTTTTTGATAAAGCTTATAGTTAGGGCTGGATCAGTTGAACCTGAGCCTTCCCTTGGTTATGTTGTCCCCCCATGATGCTCTAAGCTCCTCCCCTCTCCGTGCATCTCTATGCTACCATTACATGTCACTAACTGTGTGTCATTTCTGTCCCATAGCGTGTCGTGTCTCTCTCCCTGTACTTTTCTGCAGGTAGCCCTGGCACTGAGGCAGTATGTTTCTAATGAGCAGTCACTGGGTACATCAACCTGCCAGTGTTTCTTTGTTGCTTTTCTTTTCTCTCTCCTCTACCCACTCACCCCAAGCGGAGCGTTTTTCCATTAAAGGATATTATTTGCCAAGCACTTGCTCAAGGAGGATATGTTGGGTTTTTCCTTTATAATAAAAAAGGTCTAGACCTTACTTTATGAAGTGTCCTAAGACAATTTTGGTTGTGATTTGGCGCTATACAAATAAAACTGAATTGAACTGAATAAGGTCTTGATTCCAAGCTGTCCTAGTCAGACATGAAATTCATCATATTTTATAGTTTTATCACTTTCAAGCAAATATTCTCTGCGATACTTTAACCTACACACGGAGTCCCACATATATATTCTCTGCGATACTTTAACCTACACACAGAGTCCCACATACATATATATGCAAGCACAACACCACAGCTGAACCCCTCATCCGTCAACGTTGACTTTGAGACACAACCCGTAAGCATTAAACTCGCACAACAGGTAAATAATGTCCTGTATGTCAAACAACATTTGACACACACAGTTTATCACTTAGACAAACACACACAGACTCTGTACCTGTACCAGGCTGTCACTTTCTCTCACTTAAAATCCTTTACAACTGGTCCTTCTGAGCCCCAAGCCCCGAGCCCTGTTATCCAGACTCTGATGAGGGACACAAATGGATCTGGACGGTAAGCTGAATGAGAGGAGTAGCAGTCAAAGTAGCAAGTGAGTGAGTGAGACAGAGACAGAGTAAATGAGAGAGAGAGAGGCAGCGAGAAAGAGGGAGGGCTGAGAGAGAGGAGGCGCAGTGACACATACCAACTTCAAGAAGCTGAGAACAAACTCAAGAGAAGGGAATAGAGGAAAAA